TTTCCCTAATGTTGATGTAATAGTTGGTAATGATTTAGCAGGGGATAAGGTAGGGGACTCCAGACTGCCTATTATGTTGCCTACCCCTAAGGTTTGCCTGGATCCACCCGCCGCAGAGGATAATGTTGTGTACCCTGCGTGCGCGGTGACCAGGTCTATGGGACTTAAATGTAAGGGCAGCCCTGTGCTTGCCAAGGTGGTAAATCCCGAGGTCACGAGGAGCTTTCCGAGTGGTGAAAACCAAGTGGACCTCGCGGACACATTCATGGCCCGACTCGATGACGTGGCCGAGGACATTGTGGAGAGCCTGCCACCGCCACCTACAGAGAGTAGTGGGGAGGTGGAGGAGAACACTGTTGAGCCTCGGCCAATGGCATCTGACCAAGGCCTAGATGCCTCCTTGAGTGAGTTACAGAAAGCTGACCCCACTCTTGCAGATTGTCATGAAACAGCCGTCTCTATGGAGGAAATTGTAGACGCAGCAACTGGGTACTACTACAATGATCGGATTTTGATGAGAAAATGGAGACCACAGAGTGCTCCCTTGTCAAATGAGTGGGAGGTAGTCCACCAGGTTATGTTGCCGACCTGCTATAGAGAAAGAGTTTTGGCAGCTGCTCATGATGATCCTATGGGGGGACATCAAGGTATTAATATTACGTATCACAAAATTTTAAAGTATTTTTTCTGGCCCAAGCTGAAAAGCGATGTGGCAAAATTTTGTAATGCGTGTATTGTTTGTCAACTGGTTGGGAAACCAAACCAGACTCCACCTAAAGCTCCTCTAAGGCCTATTGTCGTGCCAGAGGAACCATTTTCTCATGTGGTAATGGACTGTGTTGGACCATTACCTAGAACTAAGTCTGGTAATATTTACCTAATCACGATGATGTGTATCACTACTCGTTACCCAGAGGCTTTTGCTGTAAGGAACATCCGAGCAAAAACTGTTGTTGCTCGTATGTTGCAATTTTTTTCCACTTTTGGACTGCCTCGGGTCGTGCAAACTGACAATGGTACTAATTTTAAGTCTGATGTTTTCGAGCAATTTTGTAAGGAACATGGAATAACTCATAAGGTTTCCAGCCCATACCATCCACAGAGTCAGGGGGTAATTGAACGTTTCCATCTAACTCTGAAGCAGATGTTGAAGACATCGTGCGAGAGTTCCCACACCTTCTGGGATGAGAATTTACCGTATGTTTTGTTTGCGGCTAGAGAGGGATTACAAAGTTCACTGGGCTGTTCTCCTTTTGAGTTAGTCTTTGGCCATAAAGTTCGTGGACCCTTGCAAATGTTACAGGAGAATCTGTTAGGGAACGTAACGTTATCCGAAGGTTCGGCTTTCTTTGCGCAACACCACCAGAGACTCAAGGACTGCAAGGCGGCTGCATTAAAGTATCTTGGCAAGGCCCAAGAAAAGATGAAAGAACGTAACGATGCTAAATCTAAGTTACGGGTATTTCAGCCTGGCGACCCTGTCCTGGTATTAAAGCCTCGACTAGGGAACACTATGTCCCACAAGTACGAAGGCCCCTACATTGTGACAGAAAAGACTGGGGACCTCACGTACAAAGTGAGGCACTCTGACAAACGTAACCAGGTAATGCTCATACATGTAAATCGACTGAAGAAGTTCCAGGGCCCCAGGCCCATTGCACTAACCAATGTTTCCATTTCCAGTGAGAGAGGGGATGATTGTTCTGGGGACCCAACTAATCTCATTTTCAATAATTCTAGTTCTGTGAATGCTGTGGAGGGACTGTCCCATTTGCAGATGGCCCAACGTGAAGAGGTGCAGTCGTTGGTTGATGAATTCTCCAGTCTGTTCGGGGAGGTCCCGACCCAGACTGATGCCATTTGCCATGATGTCGAGTTGACGGACTACACTCCCATTCGCCTTCAACCCTATCGGATGAGTCCAGAAAAGAAGGCCATCGTACGGAAGGAGGTCGACTTCTTGCTCCAGCACGGCCTCATCCGGCCGAGCCAGGGCTCTTGGTGCTCGCCCTGCCTTTTGGTCCCCAAACCAGACGGCTCCTGGCGATTATGCACCGACTATCGGCAGCTCAACAAGGTGACCATTGTGGATGCCTATCCGCTGCCCCTCCTCGAGGACTGCATTGACGAGTTGGGAAATGCCAAGTACGTTTCGAAATTCGACCTCTCGAGGGGGTATTATCAAATCCCACTCACTGAACGTGCTAAACAGCTCACTGCGTTCGTGACACCCGAGGGTGTTTTTGAGTATCAAGTGTTACCGTTCGGCTTGCGTAATGCCCCTGCCACGTTCCAGAGACTCATGAACTCTCTACTCGCTAAGGTGCCAAATTGTCGGGCGTATTTAGATGATATCGTGCTGTTTGACAGTAATTGGGCTGACCACATAGCTAGGTTACGCCAGTTGTTTGCCATCTTGAAAAGGGCAAATCTTACCTTAAATGCTAAAAAGTGTCATTTTGGCCAAGGCACAGTGACGTACCTCGGTTATGAAGTGGGCCAAGGAAAAGTGTTACCTCGGCAAGATAAAATCAATGCCATTCTGGAGTATCCAGTACTAAAGTCTAAAAAGGACGTTCAAAGATTTATCGGTATGTGTGCGTACTATCGACGTTTTTGTCAGAACTTTTCCAGTGTTGCCACTCCTCTCACAGACTTGTTGCGGAAAGCCGTTAAATTTAAGTGGTCATCAGACTGTGCAGAGGCATTTAAAAATTTGAAATTGATCTTAGCTTCCGCCCCAGTGCTTGCTAGTCCAAGGTTCGACCGACCGTTTAAAATTCATGTTGACGCGTCTGACTCGGGTGCTGGTGCAGTGTTGTTGCAAACTGGGGATGATCAGGTGGAACACCCAGTATATTATTACTCTGTGAAATTCGACAAGGCGCAACGCAATTATTCAGTGGTAGAAAAAGAGGCGTTGGCGCTAGTGTTAACATGTAAAAAGTTCGAAGTTTACCTCACAGGTAATATAGTGGAAGTGTACACGGACCATAACCCACTAGTCTTCCTGACTCAGATGAAGGGTAAGAATAAACGCATCCTCAGGTGGGCGTTGTACCTACAGGACTTCAATCTTTCCATTACCCACCTACCGGGCAGACTCAACGTGATAGCCGACGCTCTGTCCCGGTTGCCTGAATAACATTCATCTGAGCCACAGAAAGCCATTTACCAACCGTCATGCTTTAGTTAATTTTTTTTAGGTTCTCCTGTGACATTAAATATTCCGTGTCCAATTTATTTACTTCCCTGTTCTTTTATTTTTGTTGTGTATGTTTTTTTTTCTTTCAGAGAACTCCTTTGTATTTTTTTTTTTTTGCAGAGAAATTGCTTTTGATTGATTTTTTGTTTTTGTCATATGTTTTTCTTTTTGTTCTCTGTATACTCTTACAAAAAAATATGACTACTATTCTAGTAGTCACATTTTTTTTTCTCTGAAGGGGGGAGGAGTGTTACGACCCTGGGTTCTCCAGTGGAAACCAGAGGTCAAAATTGAGCTATTAAACTTCCTGGTAGTACAGTTGGGCATCTAGAATAGCAATTGTTTGTATCTTCCCTGCCAGACGTAAGACTATTATTGTTTCTCAAAGAGCATTTAAAGACTGAGCTGGGGGTTGATTATTAAATAATAACATAGGCACCAACTTTGCTTACTAATACTTTCTAATCATTCATAAAGTAACAATACGTTGCATAGGGGAAGATCTTTAATGTGCTTAGCTGCACGATCAATTAGGCTCCTCCCGGCACCACGACATGAGGGAGGCAGCTGGTCGCTAGCTCGGTCTTCTCTCTGGCTGGTGTCGTGCGGATAAGACCTACTCTGTGGCTGTATCCCTACTCTTCTCCCCTCTCCTCTTACTTATTTCCCTTACCTGAAGTTCCTGTATCCTTAAGCTAAGTACGGGGCATCAGTAAGTATACCTACTCTGGTAGTAACTATTGGTGAGACCTGGGGTTAGTATTTGCCAGTGTTTTGTTTACCCTAAGAGTTGTGTTTTGTATTAGGGTACCACATGGTCTCACTACCCTAAGCTGCATCCAGCTTCAGTGCTTATCCAGTAGTACTTTACCCTAGCTTGTTATTAGTGTAAACCTTGTATCCTGTCTATGTGGACCAAGGCTTTTAACGTAAGATAGTGTGGTAAAGTTATTATTATTATTGTTATTGGTGTGAGTGTATATGGGGGGTTGTTAAGGGGTTAATAAATAAGTACATGAATTACAGAGTATCTCTTCTTCCAAGGTGGGAGCGCAGTGATCAACCCTTAGACTAACATATATGGTCTTGTAGCAAGTTATTACTACTGTGGATAGTTTATTTTGGGGGCCGGGCCTTTTAGCTCTCCCATATTTGATACTCTTGTCTTCTAACTACCTTTACCCCTTAATAGTACCAGTACCCCATAGAAGCCCCACTTCCATTGTTGTAACACCGTCCCCGCGGCCCGGTCCTCGACCAGGCCTCCACCCCCAGGAAGCAGCCCGTGACAGCTGACTAACTCCCAGGTACCTATTTACTGCTAGGTAACAGGGGCATTCAGGGTGAAAGAAACTTTGCCCATTTGTTTCTGCCTCGTGTGGGAATCGAACCCGCGCCACAGAATTACGAGTCCTGCGCGCTATCCACCAGGCTACGAGGCCCCTCGTGTGCATAATAAATGAACTAAACTAACTCCCCGCTTGTGATGAAAGTATGCTTCTGTCTTGTTTGTGGAGACACTGAAACACAGTTCAACATATTTCCTTCCAATAAGTTGAATGGACTGTTTCAGTTCTATGCATCCACAAGCCTTAAAAGCCATTACAAATCCTGTGGCGCAGTGGTCTACATTGTCAGCTCACAATTTAAGAGTCCTACGTTCGATTCCCATTATAGGACAGAAATATCTCAGTAAAGTTTCCTTTCATATGATGCATCTGTTCACCTAGCAGTAAATTGGTATTCAGGGGTCAGACAACTGTTGAAGGTTGTTTAGTTAAATAAAATTACCATATTCATGTTCTATTTATTAATATATATATATATGTATAGATATATGTATGATGTACATTTGGTAAGAGTTATTTCTAACTGTATTAATGATATTTTTTTTTACAATTAAGCGTTCAGATTATTTATCTGAACTCTAACATAATGAAACAGATCAGATTTTTCCCTCAAGTCAGATATATTATCACAAATATACAAGTGGAAGATCTATCATATTGCACTGACCTGATTTCAGTTATCATCAAAGTTTCTTCAATAAAACAACTCACTATGAAAATATATCTTAAGTTTAAATGTTTATACTATTTTAACAAGAACAACTTTCAAGCAACAAGATAAAAATTTCATAATTGGCATGTGTTTTTCAAAATGCAAGTGTATAATCCCCAATCACAAACCAAATATAAGTTAGTGCTCATTACAAACGATTAGCTGAAGTTGATCAAATCTCCCAAAAAACACAGAACTATAAAAGTGAATGAATTTACTACACAAACTCCCCAAAGAAATGTTCTGACATAATGTGTCAGTCATGACGGTAAAATAAGCAGAGCAGAATATGTTGACTGTAGTACACAATTCTCTTTAACAACATTTTCCTGAGGACAGCGACCATTGAACTTTTTAGGCATACAAGAGTACCCTCACAAATCATCATAAATTTTGCTCCATTACTGAAATGATAGCATCCTACAACAACGGATAGCAATATTTATTGAAAATATTACTGTGCTATTGCATGAAATTAACAGAAACAAATATATTTGCATTTCAGGTACAGTTTCAACATTGTATAATATATCATGTCTATATTTAACATGTTTATTAAACTTTGATAAGCAGCTCTAATTATAAAAAATGTATATATAATCTTTTATTGGGTATCATCATTATAACACACAATACATTATTAACAGTATTTGGCATCCAACAATTAAATCCGGGAAGACAACTATAGTAACAACAGGTTCCTCTTACAGGCTGGAGACTCTTACAGGCTGGAGACTCTTACAGGCTGGAGACTCTTACAGGCTGGAGACTCTTACAGGCTGGAGACTCTTACAGGCTGGAGACTCTTACAGGCTGGAGACTCTTACAGGCTGGAGACTCTTACAGGCTGGAGACTCTTACAGGCTGGAGACCTATCACGGGCTGTAGAGTATGCCACTTATCGACGACTGAGCAGACTAATATACAGTATGTAGTTTCTTTCAGCTTACAATTCTTATTCCTTTTACTTTATTATCTGACTATTAGTGCAAATTTTAACTATATGTTATTAGCATGCAGATGACTAAGGAGCTACAGTAATTAATGGAACACTATGTGCTCTCATAGGAGCCTGAATTTTTTTTTAAACATATTTGAAATATTGTATAAACATGCAATAACTACAGATAAGATGCACATTGCAAAGTACAGTGCTAAAAGTTCCATTGGTACAATACTATTCTTACATGTTACACATGTCAGCGTTATTGGAACAATTTCCCTGTTCTTTAATTCCAAAGAAAGTTAACATTCTTGTAAAGGGTGTAGAATTTCTGTACATAGCAAAATGAAGTCATTCGAAATAGTTTTCATAATGAGATGTGCACAGTTTTAAATGTATCTTGTATCCTTTACAACAGGCAATGCCCAGAAGAAAAACAATTCACTTTACTTCTTGCACGCATTATCTGGATCTTCACGTGCATACCTTATTAGATTCTACCATGTTCTTACACATAACAAAATGTTCACTTTTGCTCCTTATTCCTCCTGCGCTGAATCCTTGTAAGCCTTGACGACTCTATCACAAATAGGACAAGGGGGTCTGTAGTTCTCGACAAGAGCACCAGCTAATTCATCCTCGGGACAACTCTCACAAGGATGATACGACTTCATGGATCTGAGAGAAGAATATCAATAATCAAAATGTAAGTTAAGAGTTCAAATGTTTGCAACGCGTGCTTGTCATTCCTAACTTTACTGTATTGAATAATTTAATTTTAATTGAAATCTTTGTAATTCTTAAACTCAATACTCTGTTAAGAAATTTGAAGCGTCACAGTTATATAAAGAAATATGTTGCACTACAACATAGCAATACAAAAACTAGAGAAAAGGGGATAACAGCTACAGTAACAAGTGGATTACAAGTGTCAGTGAAGAGAGAAGGTTTGCTAGCGTCAATGAAGAGATGCAGCCTTGAGTAAGAGAAGGGCTGCTAGTGTCAATGAGGAGATACAGCCCTGAGTAAGAGAAGGGCTGCTAGTGACAATGAAGAGATGCAGCCTTGAGTAAGAGAAGGGCTGCTAGTGACAATGAAGAGATGCAGCCTTGAGTAAGAGAAGGGCTGCTAGTGACAATGAAGAGATGCAGCCTTGAGTAAGAGAAGGGGTGCTAGTGACAATGAAGAGATGCAGCCTTGAGTAAGAGAAGGGCTGCTAGTGACAATGAAGAGATGCAGCTTTGAGTAAGAGAAGGGGTGCAAGTGACAATGAAGAGATGCAGCCTTGAGTAAGAGAAGGGGTGCAAGTGACAATGAAGAGATACAGCCTTGAGTAAGAGAAGGGCTGCTAGTGACAATGAAGAGATGCAGCTTTGAGTAAGAGAAGGGGTGCAAGTGACAATGAAGAGATGCAGCCTTGAGTAAGAGAAGGGGTGCAAGTGACAATGAAGAGATGCAGCCTTGAGTAAGAGAAGGGGTGCAAGTGACAATGAAGAGATGTAGCCTTGAGTAAGAGAAGGGGTGCAAGTGACAATGAAGAGATGCAGCCTTGAGTAAGAGAAGGGGTGCTAGTGACAATGAAGAGATGCAGCCTTGAGTAAGAGAAGGGCTGCTAGTGACAATGAAGAGATGCAGCCTTGAGTAAGAGAAGGGCTGCTAGTGACAATGAAGAGATGCAGACTTGAGTAAGAGAAGGATTCCTTGTAAAGAGATCCAGCCTACAAAAAAAAAAAAAAAAAAAAAAAAAAAAAGAGAAGGGTTGCTTGTATCAATAAAGAGATAAAGTTCCTTTCCCCACTACTACAGTAATACTGTATTAGGCTTGCCTATAATCAATCTGTATTTCCTGCCGACATGTTAACTAATATATATCTACTAGTCTTAAAGTACAGTACTTTGTTTTAGATTGATTGTACTTTTGTTAATGTCTAAATCACTGCAGAGTCTCTTTCTATATCTCAATTTGATAAAATAAGATAAAGTGCAGTAATCAATATGATAGTTTTAAGATAGCTTCAGCCAATTCTATTTGCTGATGACACAACCTTCATTTTCTCCAGTCCTAACTAACTAGTCCGAGCAGATGACTAACAGTAATAACTCTCTTATTCTGAACATTAAATTTTTACACGGCAGATAACAATCAGTAGTACAGGTTTAGTAATTAATGTTCAATAACAGTAAAACATAGGTTGACATTTAGGAAGTAAGAATTTATATAGAATTTAATTAGTAGTTCATAGTTTTCTCTTTTAAACTGATTGAGAGGAAAGTCTCAAGTGACTATCCCTCGCGTTCAGTGACCCCCAACAACCCAACCACTTTAACCACAGGATAGGCTACCGTAGGGTTCTGAGTGTACCCTAGCTGTCTGCAAGGGTAACCACAGGATAGGCTACCGTAGGGTTCTGAGTGTACCCTAGCTGTCTGCAAGGGTAACCACAGGATAGGCTACCGTAGGGTTCTGAGTGTACCCTAGCTGTCTGCAAGAGTAACCTCAGGATAGGCTACCGTAGGGTTCTGAGTGTACCCTAGCTGTCTGCAAGGGTAACCACAGGATAGGCTACCGTAGGGTTCTGAGTGTACCCTAGCTGTCTGCAAGAGTAACCTCAGGATAGGCTACCGTAGGGTTCTGAGTGTACCCTAGCTGTCTGCAAGAGTAACCTCAGGATAGGCTACCGTAGGGTTCTGAATGTACCCTAGCTGTCTGCAAGGGTAACCACAGGATAGGCTACCGTAGGGTTCTGAGTGTACCCTAGCTGTCTGCAAGAGTAACCTCAGGATAGGCTACCGTAGGGTTCTGAATGTACCCTAGCTGTCTGCAAGGGTAACCACAGGATAGGCTACCGTAGGGTTCTGAGTGTACCCTAGCTGTCTGCAAGGGTAACCACAGGATAGGCTACCGTAGGGTTCTGAGTGTACCCTAGCTGTCTGCAAGCGTAACCACAGGATAGGCTACCGTAGGGTTCTGAGTGTACACTAGCTGTCTGCAAGAGTAACCTCAGGATAGGCTACCGTAGGGTTCTGAGTGTACCCTAGCTGTCTGCAAGGGTAACCACAGGATAGGCTACCGTAGGGTTCTGAGTGTACACTAGCTGTCTGCAAGGGTAACCACAGGATAGGCTACCGTAGGGTTCTGAGTGTACCCTAGCTGTCTGCAAGAGTAACCTCAGGATAGGCTACCGTAGGGTTCTGAGTGTACCCTAGCTGTCTGCAAGCGTAACCACATGAAAATGAAAGAGAATGTGCTAACAGTAATTTGTCATATACTAACCTGAATGCATCCATCTGTTCCTGAGAAATTTTAATGGGCTGCTCATAAACAATCCAGGTGACAGACTCATAACATGGCGGAGTGGTAAGAGAACCGCCATATGTCCAGTACGATCCATTTTCTGTAATATAAGAAATTGCACAATGAAATCCAAATAACGTAATATACCTATGAGACAGACTCCACATTGGGTTATTTTTAAGCATATCATGATTCATGAAGAGGTGCACATCTGGGGTCACTCTGGACGCTGGTTCGATTCTTCCGTCCTACTCCAAAGATTTTCCCATGATAAATTAATTCAAAAAATTATAACCAAGTCACATCCACCAATCCAAAAGAACATGACTTAAATTCATAAAAGATGTATTTTGTAATTTTAAATTAAGAGCCGTCTGTAATCAAACACCCATTATTGCCAGAGATAGATATATAAAGTTTTATAAAGATATTCTTCACTGAGAAGTGCACGCTCATTTCTCTGCGTATATACCAGGAGAGTTTATTCTGGTTCTGGATAATATTGAGGGCAAAAGTATACTTCCTGGTTGGTCAGTAAGCATTTGTGGTGGGGCTATTAACCCTCCCGTGGCTGATAAACCTTGTGCCCAACACCAAAACACTATTAACAATGAAATTGTTGGCATACTTAGCTGGAATTAAATAGAGCATTAATTAATACATCACAGGAAACCTTCCTGTAAGGTGCCTAGTTCTTTTTGCCGAGACGTGCAGTTTGCATGAAGGTGTGTCCTCTCGAAGACTGCACGAGTAGTGATCTTGATAGACGCGGCACTCACAATGGCGCATCTATGTTCATAATTTGGCAGAGGTTGGAAGTTATCGATCTCTTCCATTTGTGTGAGGATAATGAAAAAACAGACATATGAGTGGAAATGGGATGACAAGGTAAGGAGCTGTGTTAATGGTGGTATCAAAGTGTTGCTGACATTCAAGAGAATGAGATTGAGTCGAAGTATGTTTGGCAATTAGTCGCAATTCAGATAGGTTAGGGTAGATTATGGTAGGATAAGTTAGAGTACATTAAGTAACATGTGGTTAATGTGTATAAGGTTAGGTTAGAGTGGGTTAGTTGGTGCAGCCTCTGGAGGTATGGTTAAAACCTTTACATCTGAAGCACTGAGTGGGAAGGTGGTACGTACACCTCTAGTTTATGGAGGAAGCCGTTAATCCAGACCCGAGCAGGGGAAAGTAGTCTAGAAAAGTAAGCAGGGCTGTGACTGTATCACTCAGTTCTCCATTTGATCTACACATAATATTTTTGACTCCGAAGATTGAAATGTCATCTACCTGAAGTTGTGCCTTGATGTCGTCTGCACTAATGTCTACAACATGTCGGATGACATATCCGACATGTTGTAGGAGACCGCTAATCGGTCTCCTAGTGGTTTGTAGCATTGGACTTTGTATCCACAGATGTCAGTAACGTCCGAAAGCTCTAGTTCCTCGCTGTGTTTGTGGTCCACTGCGATTAAATTCCTTTGTTTTTTAGGTCTAACATCGTGCACTTTTATCTTAAATATATGAGGAATGACATTATATAGGATACTTTGTGTCCTGCTAATTCCGAAAACACTCCTATCTTCGTCATCAAAGGCAATGATGAAAGTTTGCAAAGCAGGAGAACTTGTCCTATCTTGGTTGAGCGGCGGATGTTGATACTGAGGCCGCGTGGGGCCGGAAGGGTCTCTCTGTTTACCTCTGTATGATGGCGGTGCTGCACATCATTGCCTTACTGTGATGTTTACTGTCCTGGAAACCGCCATCTGGATCTTCCTCCAAGACCGGGTGACCATCTTGATTTAAATGCGTGCCATATAACTGTGGTTTCTTAAAACCCTCAAAGGTATCGTGAATGTTTGTAGGAGAGACGCTGTGCGCACCTCCAGTCGTCGCCATGTCGGGAAGCACCCCCGTGCCTAGTTCAAAGTTTCTACCTACACTCCTGTGCTATTGAAACAGCACATGTGAGTAAAAAGCCTCTGATCCAACGAAGAACCCGTCCTCATACTGTACTCACCTAGTTGTGCATGCGGTGGTGGAGCTAGAGTACAATCAACTGGTGTACAGATTCCTGAGCCTACTGGACTCTATCATATATACATTTGAAACTGTGTATGGAGTCAGCCTCCACCACATCACTGCATAATGCATTCTACCTGTTAACTACTTTGACACTGAAAAAAAATTTCTAACGTCCCTGTGGTTCATTTGGGTACTCAATTTCCACCTGTGTCCCCTTATTCGCGTACCACCAATGTTGAATAGTTTATCTTTACCTACCCTGTCAATCCCTGTGAATTTTATCGGTAGTGATCATGTCACTCCTAACTCTTCTGTCTTCCAGTGTCGTGAGGTTCAGTTCCAGTAATCTTTCCTCGTAGCTCATTCCTCTCAACTCGGGGACTAGCCTGGCGGCACACCTCCAAACCTTTTCTAACCTCGTTTTTTGTGTTTGACTAGATGTGGACTCGCTGGAGTAGATATGCACTGGAGGCGCATATTCCAGTACTGGTCTGATATATGAAGTATACAAGGTTCTGAATGATTCCTTACACAATTTTTGAAGGCAGTTCTTATGTTCGCCAGCCTTGCATACGCCGCTGATGTTATCCTTTTGATGTGGGCTTCAGGGGGACAGGTCTGATGTGATAACAACCCCCAAATCGTTCTCTTTTCCAAGAGGAAGGATATCCTCTCCCAGCTGGTACCTTGTGTTTGGCCTCCTGCTCCCTATGCCTATCTTCATCACTTTGCACTTGCTTGAGTTAAACTCTAGTAGCCATTTGTTGGACCATTACTTCAGTCTGTCCAGGTCATCCTGTAGCCTCTTGCTGTCCTGTCTTAATCTTTCTCATAATATTAGCATCATCAGCAAACATTGAGAGGAATGAGTATAAACATTCTGAAAGATCATTCACGTATATCAGAAACAAGATAGGTCCGAGTACAGAACCCTGTGGGACCCCGCTGATGACTTCACCCCCAGTCTGAGGTCTCACTCCTCACAGTACATAACTAGGTACTCCCTTATCTATTGGAGCACCTTACCGCTTACTCCAGCTTGCTTCTCCAACTTATGCAACAGTTTCTAGTGGGGAACTGTGCCAAAAGCTTCCTGAAAGGTCCAAGAAAATGCAGTCTGCCCATCTTTCCCTTCTCTGCTGGACTGTACATCCATTCTGGCGAGTTCACTCATAATGACAGGTCGATATGCCATGTTAAAGGTGAGATGTAACACCTTGGTATATAACTTCAGTGTGTAATGTGAAGGTGGTATTAAGCTTCCAGCGACCAAAACAGTAGCTCACATCTAAAGGCAATTTTATGTGCAAACCATATTGTGCCTCGGTCTTTACAGCCTCACTGCCTTTATTCAGATGAAAGAAACTTCGTGTTGCAAGCCTCGCATGATAGGATTTACTTCAATAAGAAATCAATAGAAGCCAAGAATGACATCTCATTTGCATTTGATTTACCCTCATAAATATTTATTTATTTATTTATTTATTTATTTATTTATTTATTTATTTATTTATTTATTTATTTATATACAAGAAGTTACATTGGGGGATGACAGAGAATATAGAAAATAAGTTGAATTAACATTCTTGTACAGCCACTAGCACGCATAGCGTTTCGGGCAAGTCCTTAAACTAACAGAAAAAAAAATTGATACATTAACAGTAAAATTGATAAAAAATGTTAGCAGGTATTTTTACAGCTTACTTAGAACTAATCACCAATCTTTTTACCTTTAGGCACAATAGAGATAAGACTCATTCCAATCAGAAACAATTATATTGTGATATTTTGTGATATTGCTCAGGTGCTTTAATGTTATTTTCTTTTGTGAATGAATGAAGTGTATGTGGTCGGCCGAGCGGACAGCACGCTGGACTTGTGATCCTGTGATCCTGGGTTCGATCCCAGGCGCCGGCGAGAAACAATGGGCAGAGTTTCTTTCACCCTATGCCCCTGTTACCTAGCAGTAAAATAGGTACCTGGGTGTTAGTCAGCTGTCACGGGCTGCTTCCTGGGGGTGGAGGCCTGGTCGAGGACCGGGCCGCGGGGACACTAAAGCCCCGAAATCATCTCAAGATAACCTCAAGATGTGCAGGGTAGGATAATTATCAGGAGAAAGCCTAACACCTATATAGCACATGGAAGGGATATGATAGGATAAGAGGAGGGAGTGAAGGAACCGTGCCCAACCGCTTGCAACTATCAAGGCACAAAGACAAGCCTTTAAGACACACAAAATCAATAAGTTATCCAAGTTCCTTGTCATCATTTTTTTCTAAGTGCTATAGAGTCATACTGTCTTATGGGCCATTACGACGCAAATCACTTACTGGGAATGAATTCCGCTGGGCTGATTGGTTCTGTGACAGTGATGGCCTGGCCCTTGTGTTGGACAAAGGGGAGAAGCTTGCACACCTTGTCCATCTCCTTATGGTCACTGCCAATCTGTAAGTGGAAACCACCAGTTAATCTATATCTACATTATAAGAGGGAGTGTCCATCTGTCCAAAGCCGGAGGCCAGACGCTTGGGGCTGGCCTCACTCAAATTGGCAGAGGGGATGGTCATAGGCTGGTCAGATTCACCAGAATAAAACAAGGAAATGGGGTGATGGATAGATAGATGGATGGATGGATCTATAGGTAGATCTATCCATCCATCGATCCATCCACTGTCTCTATCTGCCTCTGTCGTCTGTGTGTGTCTTTCATCTCTGTTTCTGTCTCTGTCCCTTTCCTCCATTCCCCTTCTCTCAGAAAATACATGGGGTTTCTTTCCCACCTACACAACCTTCCTTTACCCCTCCCCCCCCCCTCTGCCCCTTCACACCTACCCTCCCACCTCCCTCCACCCCCCTTCCCTTTCTCTATATTTATCTATCCTACAATATTACTAATATCATAATAAACGTAAGTGTCACTATAATATTAAAGAAAGTCACAAAGAATATAATTGTTCCCCCCTTATGAACATGTGAGTTAGCCATCAGTTTTCTGTGGGGGTGGGGGTGGGGGGGGGGGAGGAGAGGCAAAATTTAATTTGTATGCTTTATGGGATTATGTCCCTAGTTTGAATAACAGGAAAGTTCTGTTAATTTTCCCG